CCTTCTTTCTCTCTTTTTCTCTCTTCTCTCACTTTTCTTCTCTCTTTCTCTTTTAATATATGCATACATATGAACATATGTACTTCATATATAGATATGTATTGATATAGATCCATATACATATAAATACTTTAATGTTTTAACTAAGTTATAGGCTATTGTTCTTTATAGAGCTACAGGTCTGCTGATGGTTTTTGAGATGCCCTTTGGTCCATACAGGGAACTGAAGTAAAATCCCTCTTCTCAAAGTCAAACTTGACTTAATTCCATGAGTGTTTAGAATTTTAAGGCTGTAAAAAGGACTGGAAAGAATTCAATTTCTGGTCATTATTACATTTCCTTTCAATCTACTTAAGTTCTAACTAACTTCTGCCATTACCTTCAGCCATCAGGGCAGAAATTTTGCTGTGTGCTGTCATTTTGTAATTTCTTTCACGGATCTTTTTCAACCTGTCATCACTATCACCACTTTTGTGAAAATACCCTATCTAATATTTGATGGTGCTATATTTTCAAACTGTCAGAAAATGTTAACGTCCTATCACAATTACTCTCTGTGGCGTATAGATTCTGCATGGAATTTCAATTATGACGTTTTTGTTCCAACTTCCATGCAAAGCCAACCAAGTCAGACTTTTGAGGTAAATAAAGAAGTAATGAATTAATACAGAACAGTATTTGAAGTCAATGTGTAGATCTTGGAAATAATGATTTTCAGGTTTGCTCCCCTGGTTTTGTGAGGATAGTGTGCCTCATTGACTTGATGGAATGTCATTTACTGAGATGGCTGACCTAGAAAAATTTAAAATGTTTCTCCATGAATTGTCCCTGAGCAGAACATATAAGGGATTATTCGGCAGGTTAGTTAAGTAGGTGCCTTGTAATGAACTATTACTGGGCACTTTACGAAAAGCAAATAAACACAGCTGCTAATAGTTCCCAAATGTCAGTCCTTAGAGCTTCATCAAGTAGGGAAAAATATATATTCCTGCTCACAAATCCTGGGGATCTTCTGGCTCATCTTGTTCAAGATTCATCTTGATTTGGACCCATCGATCTTGATTAGAATACGGGAATCACATTTAAAATGGCTGCTTCTTTGGTAATCGTG